GCCGTTATTTGACCCCGAAGAAACAGACAGAAATCGGACCGGTTAGGAGTCTGGGAAAAGAATTATCATCATCCACGCTGCTGCCTTTGAGGAATCAGGGAAACAACACAACATCACACATCTATGAGAAGTAAAAGATTAAAAAGAGGGGTGGTGGAGGGGGGATCTGAGTCAAAACTTACTTTCTAAGTAGGTGTCTGTCTTGAGTGATAGGTCGAGGCTGTGTAATCCACGGCGAGGATGTGGCTACACTGAGCACAATGACTCTGCGGCGGACTTTCCAAACTTTTTCGTGTGCCTGGGCGGTGCAGGCTGACATTTTTACCCCTCCCACTGGACTCCCTCCAGTGTTAGAACTGTCCTAACCTGGGCTGGTTGTTATCAAAGAAAAATGATTAGAAGCATACTCTTGCCCTCTGAATAGTTTTAAAGAGTGTTATTAAATCCTAAAGCCATATGAGTTCAATTAAAAACACTATTATTAGATTTTTGTTGAGTTTGTATATTGGTGTTCTGCAGTTGTCACCAACTATGTTGTAGTACTTGTTTTAAAAAATGGGTTTGCAGTAGGCTTTTTCAGTCAGCCAATAAGGACTTCTAGTGCACAGTCTTGCTTCAGGAATTACGGTTGCAAAAATGTATTCAAGCGTCTTTTGCTCAAGATAAAATCTAACTCAATATATTAACATAACCATGGGTGAAATTTTCAATTTGGATGTTTTGCAAGCAATTTCTTTCACACGATAACTACCTGAAATCAAGCATTGCAGGCATCACAAAGTAAAGATTTTGCCCCTGCATGATGCTTTGCCAGGTTTTGTCAGTTGTTTGCTTTGTGGTTTTTAGTCATGTTGAGATCAAATGACTGACCCCCGTGTTTTTTAGAATATTCCACTTAACCTTCAATATCTGGAGTGCTCCTTCCCCATCATGTTTGGGGCCATTGTTGATCTGAACTGCAAAGTGTCATCCAATCAGTTTCGCTGCACTTGGCTCCGTTTAGAGTCTTCAAAAACAATGCATCTCTATGTACTTGAGAGATCATTTGCCTGTTTCTGTCATCTGTCATGTTGTCATTAGATAGTGCCCAACCAGTGTCAGTGGAAGCCGTGTATTTCTATGCAATCACCCTTCCTCTCGTTGCATGGTAGATAATGCTAAAGATCATGAATATGTTTATTTTTCGCTCTTAGTTTCATCTGTCCAAAGAGTGCTGTTTTCAGATTTCAAGTAGTCTAATATAAGCTTTCAGTCGGATGGAAGGCAAATGGTGTGCACGGTGTGTGCACTGAAGTGATTCATTCGCCCCTAAACCTCTTTGCTCTACCAGACTTGTTTTGTTTTTGCAGTCTAGAGTGAGGATGACTGTTTTTTTTTTATTTTGCTGGAAGTAATAACTCTTTTGACAAGATTTGCATTGAAAATGTGTTCTGTTTTCATTCACCCAAAACCTCAAAGATGTTCATGCCACAAATAATACACTTTTTCTTTGGATGGTCGGAGGCAGCCAAAGTGCCAATTCCAGAGAGGTCAGGTCAAAACAGCTTCACAGATGTTTTAATTCCAATTAGTTACTCGACTGATTATATTTTATATTTAAAGTCAAAGGCTAATTTTCGTTAACTGAAACAATGCATTATTAATTATTTAAGCTGCACAATTTACCTCGGCAAAGCCTAGGAATGAAAGAAGCTCGAGGTTCCCATGGAACATCATTTTTCTCCGGCCGCCACACCACCACAAAGAGAGAGCTGCAGAGTAGACAAAACATCCTCTCCGTAGCAAACAGACTCGGAGGAGTCATCCTCCCTTTAAATCAACTGACTACACAAAGCCTATTGGGCAGGAGGAAAAGAAAAATCCAAAGGAAAAGAAAAACAGACCCACACTTCAACAATGCAACAGAAATATAAAACTACAACATCTTTCAGCTATGCTATTCTGTCTCTGTACCCTCTGCTTTGACTCATTTTGTGTTCTAGGTGCTGTCAATATAGCCTGGAGCACACAAAAAGAGAGGAAAATCAGTATATTTACTTAAATGTTAAATGTATCTTATACTTATATATATGTGTGTATGCATATGAATATAAATTCATGAGCATGCGTTCTTCCACCTTGGAGCAAGCAGTTGCTGTTGAAGGACAAAGAAAATGAATTACAGCTGATTATAATTAATACATGTCCTGAAGGTTACATGTTCAGCCTGCAAACTAACCATGAAGGTTTTGATTTGAACTGGGTCGTCCTTCAACGTACAAATCAGTTTTTATTAGTATCAGAAATATATTATTAAAAGGTCATTATTGTGTGAATGTCCTCATCCACTTTAATGAGTTCATGTTTGAGTTCCAATTTTACATGTGTAAGAAAGAGTGTAAGTCCACTCAAGCTAGTCCATAACCCTTTATACATGTCGAGTTCAAAGTGGGACAGACTTCATCTCAACAATCTATTTTTAAAGTAAGTAAGCAGAAAGGAGGTTTCAAAGTAGATGCACCTCTGAGCTGAACAAAATGCAGTCGCAGAGCTTTTCCTACCACAAATGAATCACTCTCTGACGTGAAAAAGAAAACAAGCATGGTCAGAGACACCTCTTTTTATCTGTTTATTTCCATGATACCCGTTCCCAACCTAAATCATCTCCGAAAACTTGGCAAAAAAGCAAAAATACTTTTGATAAACTATTGTTTCTTAAGCGTGCCTGTTTGTCAGCTCCTGCAGAAGGCTGATGAGAACATGTCCATTTTAATTAGGTGTAATGAAGATGGACTCTGGGCCATGAAGACCAGGGTTAGGAAACACAATGATATAGTGTTAAAGCCCCTGGGATAAGACAAAGTTGTTGTTTAAGGAAAGTTAAGGACATCATTTTATATGATTACAGTCCTCTTGTAGCTTACATGGCTTACATGACAATCATGTCACAGTTGGCGTTCAAACATACAGTGGTTAAGACCTCTAAGATGTGTTTTTTTTTCTTATGTCATAGTTGGCATTCACATCAGAGGCTATTCAAAACATGCTTCCACAGTGGCGTACTGCTTCAGTAGCATTCCTTTTTACTGGTGCCTGACCCGCAACTTTCGGCCCCCTCCCAATAAGCAGTTTTTCAATAACAGGAAACAATCGGCCATCGTCTTTCATCACAGGTTGACGTTAGTTCCCGCACGGTGCCACTGGGTCTCTGCGCTGCCAGCCAGCCAGCCAGCACGCTGCCGTCTACAGAGAAGCAGACACTGTATAAAGTCCATGTGTCAGCTTCCTCATTTCCTTATCGTCCTCTAAAGGGGGATCTGAGGGTGGGCCTTGCACTAGTAATATCCTACACCGATACAAGAGGCAGAGAAACCTGTCATCATTACACAGTCATTTGATGTACATCTTCAATCCTCTCCGGGAGTGCAATGACAAGAGAGTCGTTTTATAATAGTCTCATTTATATTGTCTATATCATTTTGAATTGAAGTCAAGATTTTTTCTGGAGATGAACCTAGCTTTCGGTTAATTGACTAATCCCAGTTCATTCTAGCCATGAAATTACAAATAACTTTCTTTGACACTCTATTCAAAAATCATTTGTGTGTCAATGACCAACTGATTACTGGGATGACTCTCCTGACACATTGAATGCCCACATCACATTGTGGGCATTAGCCTCGTGGATAATAGTTCAGAAACTACTCATGTGCTGTTTGGATCTTTAGATCCTGGCCTACTCTGTCTATTTTAATTTTATACTAAAGAGGCAGTTTATAGTTTTACAATTATTTCCCAAAACAAGTACCGTAAGAATCCAATATCAACTTAGAGAAAACTCTTTTGACTGGTGCTCCTGACAGGTAGAAACGCCAAAGTTTACATTTGTCATTAAATAAGCTAACAGTGGCTCTTCCACTTGACCTACTAAAATAAACCCATACGGGCTATAACATCAATCAATACCTACAACAGTTTTCATTCTTAACCTCTTGGGATATTTACTGAATGCTGTAGTTATAAAGTGTTTCAAGGCTTACCGAGTACTAACTTTCTCCACAGAGCCACACCTATGAAATAGGGGGTTTAGGTGAATTTAATGTGTCACTCTTCTCCAGTAATAAAGTCAGTGAAATAAAAGAATGGAAATGCCTAGAGGTAAAATGGGGTTTTGTACTGGGTTGTACTGACAAAATAATGCCATTTAATTTGGAACTCTAGAAGCTGCATGATATAGCCTTTGATTAATATGATTAATAATAATTTACTAATATGATTAATGTGAAAGTCACTGTCTTTTTTTAGTTGTCATTGATTGTAAAAAAGAGTTCAGAGTTTCACAAATTTTCAAACAGCCTTGTCTTCTTTTAGGTTACTTAAGGAGTTTAGGAACATGCTGTGGGCTTTGTTTCTCAAGCTGCTTTCGTCGCAAACAGTTGAGTGAATGCTGAAAATGTGCTACTTTGGTAATGCTTATTCAGGGCACACCCTTTCACATTCGTTCTGTTTGTTGCTATGATGCGAGTGCAAATTCAGCACATCATATCTGCAAACTGCGACATTTCTATTCTTATTTTTCTCCTCAACCAATCTGTTGCAATAGAGAGTAATACAATGAAGTCTCACTGCAATGAGATGGTACTGATTTAACGGTGTATTATCAACAAATCCACACATTATTGAAAGAGTAATCTAACTGATCCTCTTTGGATTGTTTCTAAGCAGGCTTATCTACAAGAGAAAATTATCTGAATACTTTGTAATAATGTGATTTCATAATTTAGACATACTGAGCCCCCTCGAAACGCTATATCGAATACTACGTTTTCTTTCTCTTGCAAATGTAATAGAAAATATATCATTTCTTTTCAAACACATGTAAAATGGCTCAGCAGTTGTCATGGTTATTCATCACCTTAAACTCAGATCAACACAGATAAGAATACGACAACCAAGTGCAATTTTTTCTGAGAATGCTTTTCTCAGTCCTGCTGGGTTTTTTTTGCAGTTACAGATGTGTAAGAACTGAAAATACTAATAGGGAATCTCTATAATGAAATAATTATCAGTTGCATCTATATATAAATCAGCCAGCAGCTCACTTTCAGTCCAGCTGTGAAGGTTAAAAAGGCTTAATAAGAATAATTAACTGTCTTTCTGAATATCAGAATATGTGGTTTAATATGGCTTTCAGAACACAATGTAAACCCATCACGTTCATTGCTACATCGTTTTTATAGAATTGGTAGTTTGTTGACTGTGGTCACTCAATTAATGAAACTGAATGTTGGTAATGGTCTAACTTTTTTTAAATCCAAACATGTTACTTACTTGTATGATACATTTGTTCGAAATAAAGCATCAGCTCTTCAGACTGTAGCATGAATTGAAAAATGAAAATATGAAAAAAGCAAGGATAAAAAGCAGGATGTCTTTTGGGGAGCATTTGTATGTGTGCCATGGCCTAAAGAATCAAATCTCTTTTTTTTTAAAACAGCCATTAGTTCTGTAGTTAGCAACAAAACAACAACAGTTTTGTTGATGACCTGCTGACAAGTCTTATGTGCTGCGGTTTTAAACAGACCGCAGGGTGTCAGAATTGTGAAGATTATCTTTATTTACTGCAAGAATGGCTTCATGAAGTGGTAGTCTGACTTAATCCATTAAGATTTATCTTTGCTTTAGATCCCTGAGCCACAGGCCTGTGAGTAAATCTGCACACTTTATTACTGCTAAGGTGTAATAGTTCCCTATCTTCTTCACACAGACACCAGGCTGTTTTTTTCTGTGCCGTACGTGATCAATTCCACAGCAACCCTCCACATGTTCCCTTTGTTTTGCACCTTTAAGTAAGGACGGCATTCCTAGCATTCAAGCAGCATCCTCAATGACTCTATGAAAGTGCTTAGGGACGCCTTCTCCTGATTGACCTTCCGATAGGCACATCCTGTGCACCTTCAGAGTCTTTTTCCCCTTCCTCATCCCAACAGAGTAGTCATGATCTGAGCTGTCCATGGAGAGAAGTCCGGATACCTGCTGTAATGTTTGCTCGGCAATCTGGAAATACGTGCGTTTGTTTGAAAGAAAGAGGAGGAAGGTGACAGGCCAGTCGGTCATCAAGGCCTCAAAGGAAAAACTGTAATAACAGTATGGCCAAAGCAGGGTCTCCTGAATCCTGTTGTGTCTACATTTGCCAGCAGCATCTTCACCGTGATTCATGAATGGAAGAACACTTACCTTCTTAGGACCTTTTATGTGTGCATTTGGTGCAGGATCAGTGTTGGTCGGTGTACAGATAATCTGCACAAAAATAGATCTGATGTCGTCGGAAAGTGCAGTTAAATATTCAAAGACAGTTACCTCCTCTGCATTAGAATCAAATTTAAACTCTCCAGTATAGCATCTTTAATATTCTTTTGTTTTACATGTATGATTGTTAGATACCTCTGCTACAAGTGTACATAGTTATGAAAAGAAATGGAACCCATCAGTTTTTCAAATAACTTTTAAAAAATGCATGTTTGCAGCCCATAATGTTTGACACATTAGCAACACTAAAGACATTATGTTATGATTTTTTAAGTGACTCTGTCACCTTGTTTGTATTCCCTTGTCGTTTGTTGTATAGAAAATCTCTGAAAATGAAAAATAAAGTCTTACGAAAGGGAGACACTTTCCAGTGTCATTTGTTGTTTGGCCTTGTCTCACATTATTCATCAACATTGCCATTTTGTGCATTTGCATAATCGCTGCCCACTGTGGCTGGCTTGCCACGCCTAAAAACAAAAATAAGCAAACAGAAGCCAGACACTTATGCAACAAACAAGCCTATATACAAAAAAATATATATATCTTAATGCTGTTGATGCTAAACTGATTAATTGGTTTGCTGATTTATACTTTGATTCCCATTGGACTGGACCAAATTTGGATTAGATTGGAGACATTGTGGATCTCCAATGACCATCTTTTCATGTTATTTGAAATATATTATGTCTCTTTTTAGCCAGAAAAAAAGATTTCATAAAATTTAGTCAAAAATTCAAATAAACAGCCAGACACTGATCATCCAGTTATGTTGCTTTACTACAGTGCATCGATAGCCTTGGAGACTTGAGCAAAGACATCATCCACAGGCAGCTCAGAGTCAACCTAGGGATAAAAACAAATTAGTTACATTTTTAAAGATTTTGTTTTTTGTCTGTTAACAGTATCGCAGTGATACGGACCTTCCTCACAATACCACGGCCTTCATAGAAGGCGATGACTGGCTCAGTTGCTTTGTAATACAAGTCCAGGCGCTTCTTGATGGTCTCCTCATTGTCATCAGAACGGCCACTGGTCTCGCCACGTTTCAAGAGCCTCTTGACCATGGTTTCTCCTTTTGCATCAACATAGAGCAGCAGGCATGGCTTCCCAATCTGAGATCAAAGGATATTTGATCATTTAGGCTCATTTTATTCTGTGCTGCAGGGATGCTTTATAATTTATCATGCTGTAAATGCTCCCACCTTCTTCTCAAACTCCTCTCCCTGCTTCACCTCACGGGGGTAGCCATCAATGAGGAATCCCTTGGAGACATCAGCCTTGGCGATCATTGCATCCTTAATCATGTCTAAGACTGTGTCCTGCAAGCAGTCATCACACTCTCTGATCAAACTTTGCCATGATATTGCATTTCAGACAAAAAAATGTCCTTTTTTTATCCGTGCACCCTCAGGAAAAACAGCAACTGTTTAAAAATAGAAGCTGAAAAAGATTTAAACTGTTTGTAAATGATTATATAAATGTTATATGCCTGTCTTACCAGGGGTACAAGCTCTCCCTTTTGCATGATGGCCTGGAGCTGCTTGCCCCTCTCAGAGCCAGAAGACACCTCAGCACGGAGCAGATCACCTGAAGACAAGTGGGTGTAGCCATACTTTGCCACTATCTTCTCGCACTGGGTGCCCTTTCCAGAGCCAGGACCACCTTAATAATAAAGGAAAAAATTATTATAAAAAGAATTATAACATAAAAACATCTACTTGCATTAACAATTAAATGTTCATCTTAAGAGCAGCTTAGAGTACTCACCCACGACAAAGATGATCTTGGCATCTTTAATTTTGTCTGAAATTAGATAAGATTAGATTAGATAAAAGATGTTTTACAGCTATATACATCAGTGCTTTCTTAAGCTTCAAAACGGAGAGATGTAGGCAACAAACCATCCTGTGACTCAAGTGTTGATGCTTTTTCCATTTTCAGTAACAAACCAAATGGGCGCCTGTCCGAGCTGGTTCTTTGATTTTGCTTTCTTTGGTGTAGGTCTGTGCTATCATTTAAACAGTGTTGACATGGCAACTGTTGCTATCTAATAATGCCATGTATCCAGGGATTCATGTAGAACTACAGAAGGTCATACACGCTTAAGCGTTGTGATAGAAATCAAAAGATAAACCATGGCCTATCACATGTACCATCTTTAATTTACATGACTATACATTATACAGAAATGTATTTCCTCACATAATGATTGATTTCTGCATTATAATGAAAGGCTGAACAGAAAGCATTTAACGTAATGACGTTTTTGCATTCTCAGAAAATACCACAAGAGGGCAGTGGAGTCCATGAAAAGGCAACAGTTAATGTCAGCCTTTCTAACACTGTATTGGTTGAATATAGAAAACGCAAACCATAATGTTCTACTGTGATGATTATCAGCAATAAAGCATTTTCTATTTCCATTGATAAAGATGTGGTAATTACCTGCCATTGTGTTGTGTCTGTAGAGTGTCTTTCTTCAACTGGAAGACAAAAAAAGGACACAGAATTTGAAGTGAGTAGTTTGCACCGTTGAGACAAGGGCTCTCGTAGTAACAACAGGGAAACATTTTTGTCAGTCCTTGGAAAAAGCATTACCAACACAATATTACCCACCTCTAAGGTTTTACATAATGATTCTATTTGGATTTACAATATTTATCCACTTTACGCAGTTTATTACTGTGAAAAATAGTAGTTTTAAAAGTATGAATGTAACAATGCAATAAGAACACAATTTATTTTATTTTTCTAAAAGAAAAACCTATATCTGCAGAGGTTGCCTAATGTACACCGAGTTTACTTCTGTTTACCATTTGTGTTTTGCTTTTCATCCGCTGCAAACATCCAGAAAAAAACACTAACGGTATTGTCTATAGTAGTAATATGCACATGTACCTAATCCTGGTTATGTTTCTGCTTAAGTTCACAGATGTCGGTATATTATTGCAAAGGATGGACTAAGAGGACAATTTGTTCCCATGATTGGGAATTGGGTAAAAATTATTATAGAAGCAAGACTTGAAGCCTATTTCTTAATTCATGTTATCACAATTAAGGCAAATACAACCAACTCTGTCATTATTTTAACTTTAGTAAGTTAGTGCTTTTTTGTTGTCTTTTTTCCCACTTCACATTGCATCTAAACACTGTAAATAAATCTATATTATCTTTTACACAGGTGCTCAATTGAATGGAATTTAAAGATATGTTGAATAAGCAAGGCGAGGCAAGTTTATCTGTATAGCACATTCCGTGTACAAGACAATTAAAAGTGCTTTTAAAAAAAAAATGAAAATCAGGAAAACAGAGAAAGAAAATGAATCAACTAAATAAATTAGACAGATAAAAAGTGAGAGGGCGCATATAAAATAAATTCAGTTTCAATATGAACAGTTAAACAGAACCGTTTTGAACTTGGATTTAAACATTGTCAGAGTTGAGGCCTGTCTCACCTCTTCAGGAAGACTGTAGGAAGGAACATGAAACTGAAATTAAGCCCCTCCTTGCTCAGTTCTGACTCTGAGCAGCACCAAGAGACCAGAACCTGAAAATGCGTGACAACATGCAGACTGCCTTATTACTAAGTTATTTATATCTGCCAACTGTCAATAACTACATTTCCACTTTTCCACATCTGATTGACACAGGTCTGCCTATTCATTTAATAAAATTATTCTAAATAAGGGATGTGACAGTTACATTTCTTCCCGTTCATTCTTAAATACTTCAAGTAAAAGAATGAGGAAGAAGGTTGGGCATGTCTTTCATTTCTAAAAAATGCTAACTGCAAGTATCAGCCGGCCCGGATTATTTCCGTCAAGTTGAAAGGAGTTTGTTTAGTTGCTTTCATTTCTTGCGGAAAATATCTGGTGCCATGCAGCTGCAGTCTACTGATTAGGATAGTTTGGGATGATCTGGAACAGTTAACATCAGTATCTACCATCCATCTTGAAGTTTATCGTTTGGTATTTGTGATTGTTTAGGTAATACATTTGGAAATATACATTGCATGCACACTGGTTGTTGTTATCAAGTGACCGGACAAGTTTCTGGTCTGTAAATTACTATTTGTGCTTCAGCTAAAAGAGAGGATTTCATACGTTTCATAGCAGCTCCGAATCAAAATCAATTACCTTTTTCTAGTCTCAGGGGAGGATGAGACTCGAGAAAAAAACACGATAGAATTAAGATTATGATCATGTTTATGATAATCCTTTTATAAATGTATGCTGAATAAGGGAAGAATATTACTCCAAACACACCAAAGCTGCACATAGTTTGGTTTCGGACTCCCACAGGCTAAAGATCTCACTAGGACTGGTGCTGTGTTTCAGGTGTCCAGTTTTATGGGAGCAGTCTTTAACCTCGTGGTCAGAGTAAATGTCATTTGGTGGCAGGCATCTGAGTCAGCACACAGCCTCTTTGGGAATCCCACTCTGGCCTATTATGGTGCTGGTGTTTGGCTCCACTACATCTTTGGCATGTCAGACATGTAGAATATGATGCCATCAACCTTTGTGAGTTCCTTGGAATTAGAGAAGGGAAACAAAATGTGACATTCCCAAGCAAGATTAAAACACGATTTTAACATGTAAGGATACATTTTTCAAGGTTCACAATCCACAATGTGCACCTAAAACTAGTTTAGGTTTCTGAATTATTGGCGAATGTGCAGATAAGTCAGTCTTAATTTGAAGTGAAATGCAAAAAAAAAGACTCTCACCCATAAGCATGGCTCACATGTCACATGTGTTATTACAGTTTTTCAACAGACAGCCCAGCTAAATAAAGACCCAACCAATCTGCAGCTGTTAAAGGATGTCGCGTCAACCATTTGCAAAAAGGACATGGCCATTAAGCCCTGTCTGATTGCCCCAGAAAGCAACTGGAGTGCGAACATGATCTGTTTTTTACATTCAGTCTGTATACCAACTGGTTACTAAGGTAATCTGCAGTTTAATGCAGAGACTTGTCCCGAGAAGAGAGAGAACAGGAGACCCTTTGACATCAGTGCAGTTGGAAATATGTGATGTTCTTTTTCATAATGAAGCATATGAGATTATGTTTTGAGCTACAACTGCTGTGGATGTAATAGTGTCACAAAGTAGTCTCTGAAGGATGCAGCATGTGTACATAAAAATCAATATCACCCAGTCAGTAATCAGTTGTAAACCGTTACCGGGGCTAGAAACAGTACAGTGGATATAAAACGGCTGCAGAGGCTTGTGTGAAAAGGACCTTTAATGTCTGAAGGTTTAATGAATAGAATGTTGACATTTAGTTGAGGTAGCGACAAACCAGCCACAGTGAAACATCACAGAGAAAAGGTAATTATGTAATCCATTGAACAATGCACTGTGAATGACATTAAAAAAAGAAAGATGTGCCTGTGCATTTCATAGAAATGTCTGATCCTCTGGAAGTGTTAGCAACTGGAAACGGTGACTCATCTTGGTCTCCAGGACCCAGAACACAGTTTGAAATTGAATGCACTGCTTATTATTCTCACTGTCCCTCCCACTTAACAGCCATGCCTTCGCTGCCAGTCTACAGTCTCTCTCAGCCGTGACATCCCCTTTTCCTCTGACAAAGTGAGACATCGTCAGAGCCACTGCACTACCGGCTTCTGCTATGGACCCTTTGTCCCCTGTACTGACCTCTCTCCGAGCTCTGGCTTTAGATCCAAGTGCAAGGGGGCTGCTCTCCCTGGATCCCTGTGTTTGTGTCTGCACAGTTCCTGCTGTACGGCAGCCCTCCCTCCCCCATGCTATGCCTTTATATAGCACAGCTGAGCCTGCTCAGACTGCGCTGCATTCTGGGTAAGAGGGAGGAAGAACTGAGAGAGGGAGAAAGAGTGGATGTGTGTAGAAATTAGAGGCAAGGGGAAAGGAGGGGGGTCTCTGGCAGAAAGGTCAGCAGCTGTACATGAATTGCTCTGTTCACCCCATAATACCAAGCCTTTTTGTTGCTGCTGCTTTTTGGAATATCTGTCATTATGGGCAGTAACTGAGCAGAGCAGAATTGCAACCTTAAAAAAAAAAAGTTTAATACGGTAAAGGTTGTGTTTCTTTTCCCTGCAGTCACATAGATGGAAACCATAAAGTGATACCGTGGAGAATGGTGGTTCCTGGATGTCTTGATGGCTTCAGCCAGATGCTCATGTACTTGCAATGCATTAAAACATCAATGTACATGAATTGTTTCATAATGGTGGACAGAGTTTAGTAGTTTCCCAAGATCTCCCATTTTTTTAAACATTATGTGCATTATAAGACCATGATGGAGATAAAAAAGAAAACCAAAAAGGCTTTTGCTTAAAAAAATTCCAATAGTGTATAAGTTACTCACTCATCATCACAGGTGCATTGTGAACATGATGAAATCAGATGCGTAATCATCAGCGCCATCATCGGGTAGTTTTGGTACATCAGTGTCTTGTTTCAACAGTGTCAATTAATCTGTTGGCCCTTGTTCGACTAAAAGCATGTCCAGGACCATTCTGTTCTGCCAGGCCATTGAGATGATTTTCTTATTTTTCTATGCCTTTAATAGTGGCCCACCAAAAGAACAGAGAGTACAATCAGTTTAGCGCAGTACAGCATGGCATTACCAGTTGGATCAGAACACATTTCCTCGCCAGTCAAAAGGTGATATGGATCTGAGTGTCTTACCTCCACATGTCAGTGGAAGAACTGGTGTTCCAGCCAGTCGTGGCAGCTCTGAGATGAGGCTGAACTGGCTCGGGCTTTAATAGCAGTAAGGGTCTGAAGTCAACAAATTGGGACAAGGGACAAATTAAAGGGATACACTGGAATCATACCTGCTTTGGTTTGACTTCAACCACCTTCGGTAAACGTACCATCAATCTTGCATACTGCTGCAAGAGTTACTCATAGCTGCTAAAACACCTGGGTCAGCTTGCCAGAGGAGAAAAGAACAGTGTTGGATAGGTTGAACCATTCTCAACTGAAGCAAGACTGATGACAATGTCTCACCATTCTGCACTGTGTTTTCTAACCGAAATCCATCATAGCTGTATTCAGAGTGACTTATCAGGTGGATATCTCTGCTGAGAAGCCGAAAGTAATAAGTGTAAAGCCTTGTGTGTGAGAGTATGATATGTGTGAGTGAGTATGATACGAAATGTGAGTTTGGGTTATGACTCACAGAGCCTCTGATAACATGGTCAAGAGGAAGTACACTTATAAACAGAAGGGTTATCTGCCAACAACACATGATCACGCTAACACAAGCTAACGTGATGAATACTAACGTTCTGGCCAAATAAAGAGGCAGAATTTATATGGATGCAGAATTTTGGAGTAGGATTCAAAATGATGTTGTTGCGTACCGGGTAATTATTCATACTCTTCCCACTGCTGTAACAAAATAAAGAACCGGTTTTACATTCCTGCACAGCCTTTGTTATGCAATTGTTGATTAGGTTGGGACTGCCCCTTGTGTGTTGTTCCATGGAAGATTACAGCTTAAGAAATCCAGCTCTATTCAATAGATTGTGCAGCTCTCAGATAGAGGAATTATTTCCAATAAGCTGAGTTTGTTGGCATTTGTGCAACATAGGAGTGCATAGCATTCATTCAGTTTTCCCAGGTTTAAAATGAGGTGGGGTGAGAAATATAAAAGCCCATAAGGTTAAAGATTAAACGACAAAATGAACATCTCAAACTTTTTATTAAAAGCTTGAGGGACATTTTCATGTCTTCAAAAAGGAACATAAATACAAAAAATATCTATATGTACAAATTATGGCAAAGACAATTAAAAGCGTACCCGGTACTTTCTAAAAAACAAAAAAAACAAAAACAGTTAATTCACAAAAATACAGAAAATGAATACATTAACTGCAGCTCCCGATGTGTTCATTATCAAATTAATAAAAAATGACCACATAATCTGTCTGGGCTCACAAATCAATATCTCTTATAATTCTAATAAGCGTTGAGGTACAAGTATGAGGTATGTACTACTTTTGAATAAAAAGTATGCCTCGAGTTAAAGAAAAACCATTTTCAGTACCATTTCATATCCGTTTGAAACATTTTTTTCTGTTTTTCAAGCAAACATTTTTCAAGTTGTTGACCAGTTTATGCTTCCTATCTGTATTTGTACCTCTCTTGAATTTTTAACTGTCACAGTGACAAAATGACTGAAAATTACACTTGGCTGTATCTGGTTTCGACAAAGCGCACGAAGCTTCATGAAAGTTTGTAAAAACATCCACGTATACAGTACAAATTTCCAAAACGGTGAGAAATGTTCTGAACTTTCATACTGCTTACACAATGTCATTGAAATTTGTGAACAGGCAGCAATTCTCCCATTAGTCTGCGTCCTGTAAGCCACAGAGGTAATAAAAAGCTCTGACCAGAGAGGCAGTGTACTAGCAAGACAAGCTTGAATTGTATCAGATTCTCTAAAAAATATAACAGCCAACTTACCGGGCTGCTTCTAGGTCTATATTGAGATAAAAATAATGACATTAAGCAGTAATGTGCTGTCCCATATTCAGATGGGCATCACAAAGCATCCTTAAAGGCCAGGCAGAAATGATCAAAAATCAAGCCTAAATTATCACACTTCTGGTTTTACCCAAATTATAAGCAGCTGTTTCTTACCATTAACAGCTTAAACAAAACATTTAAAATGGAAAATCTTACTTCAAACAGTCTTTCACTTTTATCAAACTTAAATACTTCAAATTCACAAAGAAATTACTCTGTTTAGTGAAAGTGTTTAAAGTGACCAAAGCAGTTTAACACTGGAGGACCAAACCGAATACTGTTCCTGCACAAATGACTCATCTGAGTAGTAGAAACCACAAAAATGGAATGACAAAAGCAGCCTTGATTAGAGCAGAACTGAAGTATATTTGTCTTATTTCAAAATCCACACTTGTGTTGAAAGAAAAACTTCAGTGCACACCTGCAATTTAAACAAAGTTTGAATAAATAAATCTTTGTGACTTCTACCATTCATTCTCCATAAAACCTCTCCATATTGAATATATGCCCATCATGTGCATCTAAAAACACGCGTCTGACACGGGGATACAATCTCGGGTCTGGAATAGGTAATTCTGATTAAGGCTTTAGTCAGAGTATAAACATAAAATTTTGTGTTTTACAAATTCTTTTTTTTTTTTTTATCATGTCACCTCAAACGAACTTAATGGATCCTCCATTCTGCTCCCCCCTCATCACATTTACATATATTGACTACGTAACACATCAAGCGGCATTTTAAAAGGGGCAACACCTATTGCACATGGTATTTGTCTCATTTTAAAACTCTTGTTAGATCATCTTTTAGTGCTGGCTCTAGGTATAAAGTCATCTTTAATTTATTTTTCTTTTTTTTTTTCTTTGACATGATGTTGCATGATGGAGTTATTCACCCAGCACTAGCTGGAAAAGCCACCAGGTTGCTCTGGGTCAGGGGAAGGAGGACTGGTCTCGTCGTCGTCTGTGGGCAGCTGGACCCGCTGCTCGTCCATACGCTTGGCCTGCACCCTCTGGATCAAACTGAAGAAGTCCTCATCAGGCACTGTGGGGGCATGAGGGCCTGCTTCAGGTGGGGAGCACCTCTGATCATCAATCCTGGAGGACTAGAACCAGAGAGATGAGTGCATTTAGTGCCAAATATGAAAAAGTGAACCAATTTACACAATGAATGTTTTGAAATATGGTTGTCTTCTAAAGGACTATGTGCAGTATAATAGTCGTTTTTCTTGATGGGTTTAATCCTGAGTTTGTGCGAGAGCTTGGTTCTCACTTGGCACTTTATGAGCATGTTGAAGAAGTCATCGCTGGGTTCTTGGTGATCTCCCTCACCAACCAGATGTCCCAAGTTGTTATGGGTAATCCTAAGGCCCGGCAGATTACCCACATTGACACGCTGATCATCAAGACGTCGACTCTGGGAGCTGGCAATTAAATCAAACAGCTCTTCAGTCTGTGGCGACGTGGTAATTGCAGGATCTAAGGAGAGAGGGGAAAAATGCATGCTAAAGATCTCCTAATCTCATGTTTTGAAGGGGAGAGATATCATTCACATTGCTAAAAAATTAACCTATAATTTCGCTCAGGGTTGGCGTGGTTGTAGCACTTTCTCCGTTGGCTCCATCCTGTGACTCATCGAGGTGGCAGCGCTGGTCGTCCATGCGGCTGCTCTGGAACTTACTCAGGAGGTCAAAGAAGCAGTCTTCATCGGAGGGGTCACGGCCCAGCTTCTACAACAGAAATGACACGTCCCACTCTTTTATTTGACACATACTTCAAATCCCATAATGTTCTTATTCAAAATCCAGATCCTGTTTAGCTGCATTTTTCTGCAAGTAGGAAGTTAGGAGCATGGGAATCTGTGCAATCCAGTTATTCATTCACTTATTCTCCTTTAGCAGATATTCATTTGCTCCTACATCCGGGAGCTGCGATCCACAGGTAGGCAAATTAACCTAAATGCCATATATATTACATGGTATGAATTTTCAAGACAGCCAGCGCATGGAGTGAAATAATCAGATTAACTCGCAAGGGATGTCCCTCCTGGTGAGAATACCATGACCCAGATACTGAAGGTGATGCAATATCTTAGAATAAACATCTGCAGAATATGATATGAACCCCGAGATGGAGGGAACAGGAGAAGGAGGCATACAGCCAACAAGTTGTGGCAGAAGCATAAAATCAATCCCCCCCAACATCAAAAATGAAAGTTTCCTTAGTTTCGACAACAGAAAGTCAGCAATTAGCAGGATATAATCATGATTGTGACGTTTGTGCCAATAGGCATTGCATACATTTTTTATTGGTTTTTACTGGAAGGTGGAAGCCTGTGCCAGGTGTAATGGCTCAGGCTACAGACTGTAAATGCCCCACCTGCTCAACGAGAGGGCTGTAGTAGAATTTCTTCTGTTTATTGTCTAATAAAAGCAGTGGCTGAGCACTCATATTGCACTGGACAGGTTTAGCCAGAATCACAGTGTCAATAATGCATCAAAGTTTTAACCCTATGTCATACGTGTCATATCTGATATATACATTTTCTGATATGTTTTGCATCAGACACCTTTTGCATCATTTAGTAGTAAAAACCTTGCTCAAAACCCTATTGTACACAATCAGATATACCTGATGACAGGGCAGAAGACTACACAACAATACATTTGACTTGTTGCATTGTAATAAATTAATATTCAAAACATATTTCAGTTTTTTTCCATATTTTTTAAAAAGGGCTAAATCAAGACTTCAAACAAAAACCAAACAAAATTTCTCTCAATTTTTTCTTGGATCAGGCAATAAAAAGTTAAAACTGAAGTGAATAATTTATTCATGAAGTCTGTCAAAGCAACACTTGCAAAGCACATGTGGAATTTATCATGGCCGAACAGCACAAGTGGCATATTGTGGCACCTATTCTGCAATATTATTACAGCTAATCTGCAGGGCGGCAGCAATAAAATGGTTGAGTCGATGACCTGGAGGGCAAGTAAAATTTTCATTATTCTCAAGAAAAGATTTTTTTTTTTTTTTGAAGAGGTCAGATTGTACTGCCACCATTTTACCCTAGGAAATTTCGAGATGTGGACATAGAAATGTCTGGGGTTTGTTCCAGGATGCAGCATTCAAAGGAAAAAAATCCACATGCAAGATAAATTATTAACATAAAATAATTTAAAAGTGAAAGTGAAAGGAGGCTGTGTTGATAAATTAAATTACTTTAAAGGCAGCGTAGTGGGACGAGCGAGGACCAAAAGCTTCAAAGTGACAGACAGCAGCAGTGGCCAGTTCAATGTCGGACCTTCTCACTTCTGAGTGTTAAAGCTTTGTGTGAATCTAATATGCCCATCTAATAAACTAACACACACAGATTACATCTCTGCTCATTGTGATGGAGCTGATGGTGTTAAATGACTGGTTTAAGAAAACAGTGGTAGTTAACAGTTTTGCCAACAAAAAGCTGCAGGGCCAAAATGATCATGTGCCTGATTTGATTTTCTGCTAAGTCAAAATGACTGAAGAAAAAAATGTTGAACAAGAAAATTCAGCAGTGCTTTGCTTCAAATGTCTATTATAGGTTGCTGATTTTGGTACAAAAAAGTTCATGTGTTTGGTCATTCAGTGGTTTAATGAGACACTGTGTGCTTAATTTCAGAAAACTTCAGGAAATTGACACAAAATATGACTCTTGATTCTTACGATGGAAGAAGGAAAAAGTTCTCTGCTGCGTGGTTAGATATCTCAGAGGGACAACTGAAAAGCCTCCACTGAATTCTAAAAATAACAAATCAACAAAAAGTCCCAGAGAAGGTTAATGGAAGACCAGATCGAATTTAAATGACAAAAAATACTCAGCGATTGTGTAATTGCTACTTTGAAAAGAATTACACATACATAAAACACAAAAAATACATCTAATGAATGTATACTTAATTGCAACTATTCACAAGGACACAAACCAGAAAGAGAAATGACAAATACAACACTGACTAACAGATAGTTAACAGAACTTTGCCTTACAGCATGAAGTGAAGTAGGTCAACTGACAACATGTCAAAGAGTTCCATTGTGGGAGTCAGTTTTGTCTTATTTTCTTTTCTGAAACATCACACAGTTGCTTCAGCAAAACAAAGAAAAACTGTTCTGGATTTTAGCCTCACTCTCTCTAAAAGAAGGACAGAAGTAAGAAGAGCAAGCAGAGAATCCCAGAAACTGCAACTGGTCAAACTTCTGCGCGCCGCAAACAAAAAAAAAAAAGAGCAAACTCTAAAACACTTTGCAAAGTGATGTTATTCTGTGAAGGATAAGTGAAACATCTTACCAGTGAAAAAATTCTCCACTATCTCTCATTCCTCTCTGAGCTCTCTTTTTCTTCCGCTCTGTTAACACCTCTTTCTCAGCTGCTTTCACCCTCCGCTAAACAACTCTTTCTCTCCCCGTCTCTTTTTCATAGAGCTCGACCACCTCCCTCTAATTTCCTCCCTCCTAGTATCCCTCTATTCCAGCTCTCTTTTAACAACATACTACCTCCTCCCCTCTGTCCCTCTATCTCTCTCTCTCTCTCTCTGCAGCTTTTCAGCAGGCCATTTTTGTCCCGTTCACCCACTGTGGGAAAACAACTCATTATGGGAAGCTGGGTGTTTGACCCTGTGGGGAGGGTAGCAGTTCTGTGATCAAGGTCACATTATCAGCTGAGGGGCAGAGATGGGGAGAACAAATCGGTGGGGGTGAGGGTGGGGGGGGACAGAAATAGGGTCGAAAGATGGGTGGAGGAGCATAGCTGCGAGTCCATTGCTCACTATCAGCAGAGCTCTGCTAGCCCCAGTTGACAGAAACCATTCATTTCTCTCCTTTAAAAAGTCTAATCAGGTGCAGCCATTACTTATAGCAGCTTCTGTCCTGTGTCCTTGGCCTCTGTGGATCTCCTCACTTCCCTCTCTGTAATGTCCAATTAATCAAGTAGGCCAAAGTGACAGAACATGAGAGAAAGGAATATGTGACAATGAAAATGGAATGAGAAGAGGGAGGGAGAGAGAATGAGGGGACCACAGGAACTATGTTGTGTATGACAAAAAAGAAATGAAGACTGAAGGCAGATAACTAATAAAAGAAGCTTCCTCTAGCATGAATCTTTGCTTGGCTTTATAACCCCTGACTTTACGGCCTACATTTGAGGGTTTTTTTTTATTTTATAACAGTTCAATCTGCTGGTACAAATACAACCACATCTGACAAAGTTGGTTACAGCCAAATAACAAGTCTTAAAATTCCAGCCCACTACCAAAGAGGTGGCCCTGTATTCTCAAGTATGTTCTCAGAAGATTGTTATTACTAATGTATGCATGTAAGAAACCTCTGCATTTTTAATCACATGCCGGTTAATTTCCGCAGTAATCTGCATCCGATTCAGTTTTACAAATGGTCGTCCTTCATTATCAGCAAGATCAAGAGCATTAACTTATGGATGGTGCATCTTCTTGCTTGAGATGGAGTGTTATAAAGCAGTCTTTTAATTTCAACCTTTTTTTGGTTCATCAGCCTATTGATTACAACAATTAACATTGTCACAGGACTATGGGATGATTAGATGCAGGAGAGCCAAAATTTATGAGGACACAATGCAACAGCTGTGGATAAACATACGGTATCCATTAGGGAGATGCTTACCATTACGCTGAGCAGTGATGCCATTCAATGAGAGGACACTCATATGGAGGAGCCAGCATGTTAAATCAAGCGTCCCAACCTTATTGGAAGTGAGTATTTGCTTGTTTGTCGCCTTGATTGTTCTTAAGTTGTCAAAACCAGGGAGTTAGTTAGTTCCCAGTTTCCCAGAATTCCAAATTCTAGGAAACTGAGAACTAATTTGAATCAGAATTCCCAATTCTGGGAAAATGCTTTTATAAAGCAACACCCCAGCCATTTGTGATCAAATGTTAATTTTTGCTCATACTATTGAAATGAAAGCTGTCACAACAAATGAAACAACAAAGACGCTGCTACTCACAGGCACTGGAGGCGGAACGTGGACGGTGATGTCATCGGTGTCTACAGGGGAGTCCAACCAGGGCCTGTCATCTGATGACTGACTGTCAGAGTAGCCTTTTCTCTTACCAGCCTGTGACAGCTGACTTTTGGATCTCATAGAAATATTTTCCAAGTTTTGGTTGTCGTCATTCTGTAGTAATGACACGTGTAATTGGAGAGACTGACAAAAGCGTGTTTCACATTGTCCATCACATTTTCTTCAGTGAGATTACAAAATTCACCTTATCTGAAGAGTACTTCCATAATTCTACGCTATCCGTACTGTTCCTCTTGGTGATCTTGGGTCTTGCTCCTAAAAAATATAAAAATAATAAATTTACCTATATGTCAATATAAATGAGCATTACATCACATGAGCTTCAGATGTGATACTTCATAACTTCAGGATCCCTTACAAATCGTATTTAAAATTCCATAGTTTTGTTTTTCTTTTTTAGCGACTTTTTGCCAGCAGGCTGAGAGAGTCTCATGATGTTCAAAGTGGATATGAAGCAGACAACCAGGCAAACACACTGCACAGGCATCTGTTTGCCATCTCTGCTCCAAAGACAAAAATGTAGAACGGGGGTGCGAGTCTGTGCCCTGAGGACAGTTCATGAACACAAATAACATGCAAAAGTCTGCCAGATTGTGCAGATAAAATGGATTCCTCTTGTTTTAACATGTAAGGCTCGATGAAAGGCTCAATGGAGGACATTTCAAACAGAATAAAAAAAAAAAACGAGTTTCGTTCATATTTAGCCTAAGTCCAGACATAACACAGACACTGTCTCACTTTCAGTTAGTTTGATACTTAAAATGGCCATTTTGTTTACATATACAACATTCTGGTTAGTTTGCTCAAACACACAAATGTTCTATTTCAAACAGAAGTTAAAAGAGCATGTTTGTGTTGTTTTTAAGTCATTCATTAATGCATGTGTACCAGCAAGATCATAAAGTTTAAACTTGATTTGACTTCAAGTCTAATTTCTTGCCGTTTGCTCCCATTAAAATGAGAGGGATCGTCAAAACTTTCTGAATCTTTGTCTAAACCACAGTGTGAAGACGGAAGACACACAGGCCTCTGTTTTCATATACTTTCAGGCGCTCATGCACACTAAGACTCTTTTCTTTTGGTCTAAACTGGTCACCATATAAACCAAAAACCAGAAACCAGAAATCATCAAACTTATCCATTAACATGCCTCTAAAAGGCAGAAACAAACTAAAGTTTTTACCCTGCATCTCAAACTCTGAACTGGAAAGTGAAAGATCGCTTTCATTGACTCCCAGGGCTTCCATTAGCTGCTCCACATTCATTCTGGCTGTCAATTCCCCATTTCTGTCTCCAATCTAAGGATAAAATACAGAGAAGGACAGAGAAAGACTTACACATGCTTTAAATACAAGAAACCCTCAACCCAAACAACAATTTTAATTTATTTTCCCTTCTCTCTCTTTACGAAATATCTCACTTCTTTGGATATGTCCAGGTGCTTTTGAGCATAGTGGAGAGCTTGTTTGTGGTTTCCCAAAGACACGTAGGCATTTCCTAAACTCCAGCAGGCACGACCCTCCCCAACCCTATTTAGAAAGGAACATACACCCGTCAGAAAACCAATTCTCAGCTTGTGTATTTATTGTTGTTTGTCTCACTCTACCTGTCAGTAAGCTCTTGGGCTATGTACAAGTGTTTGAGGTGGTACTCTACGGCCTTCTCATACTGCTGCAGAAGAGTGTAGGTGTTTCCCAGGCTGTAACAGGCCTGGGCCTCCATCACCTGGTCCCTCAGCTGCCTGGATAGTTGCAGAGTTTTTCTGGTGGACAAAATAATACGTGTTTAAATAAAGACAATATTGACTATCCAAAAGAGGAGAGTGTGAAATAAAACTGCCAAAAATAAATGCATTTGTCCAAGTATTAAGTATTTGTGATATGCAACAGAACAGTAATTCCACCATCCCTCCACTAGATGTCAGACTGCACTCTTTCTCACCTGTAGTACTCTGTGGCTGTGTTGAACTGTCCCAGGAATATCAGGGCATTCCCTAAATTACTGTAGGCCCGCCGTTCAGCAGCTTTGTCCCCAAATTCTTTGGCAATGGATAATCGCTGTTAATGACAACGCAGTTCATTCAAAGTGGAAACAACGTATCCAAATGTGCTACAATACTAAGTTTAAATAAACAGCAAAAAAATATTATCTTAAATTTTTGCTCTGTTAATTTTCTTCACTTTGCGTACAAACGGGTACAATTTCACTCGTTTCAGCTGCCTGCACTGCTGGGTAGCTCATTTTCTGACCAGAAGCGCTACAGCAGCAATTGTGCCTCAAATATCCCCCTCTGATTCCCTTTATAGGCAGTGTGCACTCCTCCATTGCACACTGATAGATTTGTAATAGGAAAGTGTAGGGAGGCTGGTTTCTTACAAGATGAGAGAAGTGGTTTACAATGGAGACTGACAGGAAAACAAAGGGAGGGAGTGCCTGAAGCCATACTTTTCAATGATGCAGCCAGAAACCAATTTCCTCCCTTTTCTGTGTGATTAGAACAATCTCTGAACACTGTGTTCTAGTACAGCAGGAAATGGATTGGGATGCACTTTGAAAGACTTTCAACAAAGTTCATGAGTCAAGCACAAATATTCTGTCTAACATAAAACCTTCTCAAACCGTCAAATCAAAGACACACATAATCTCTGTTTTAAGTACACAATAAGATGAATGGACTCCTTTAGCAGGGGCACAAACGAAACAAGTTTATTCAGTTTTTTTTCCATAACCAACCAAATAATAACCAAATATTGTGGGCAGAACTGCATCTAACAGAAAAAAGGACACAGGAAGCTGAAATTTACCAGCAAGCTGAGATGGGGATATTATGGTCACACAGAAAGTAAGCAAGCTGCTGAAGCAGCCCAAAACTGCCACACTAGGCTCATCTCTCTGCAAAAAGAAGTGTGAATGCAAGACTGGTAAACATTCTGGAATTCTCACCTGGCGGTGAAACTTGATAGCCTCGACAAAGTTACCCAACAGGTAGTGGGTGTTGCCCAGATTGCCGTAAGCCCTCCCCTGAGCAGCTCGGTCACCAAGCTCTTTGACCAGACACAAGTTCATCCTGTAGAGGTAAGTTAGCATCAGTACCTCTGTGTTCAGTGAAATTAATAGAACTGTTGCATTTATTTGATTTACTAGTGTGAATGGTTTTCATTCAGTATGATTAAAAATCCTGAGAAAAAGAAAACCAAACCGAACACATTAATCCAATGTATCACATATTCAATACATTTCACTCTGGATATTTCTTCCCAATTTCATTAAAAGAAAGGTTTAAATGGGGCCGAAATCATTTTCTGGGGAAATACATCATGGAGGAGCAAGGGGCTTGACAAAGGCAATTTAGAATACATTAACTGAATTCAGCGTCATTTAGAGCCAAACTGGTGATTGGTTTAGTCCATAATCTTAGAAGAAATAAGATACACAAGGAGTGCAATACCTCCTACGTTTGGTGTAACAATTTTCATGCAAATATCTGAACCACACAGTCTGGTTACAAAGCTGCTTTGCTTTGATAGAAGACTTGGAAAATAGTAGCAGCTTATTCTGTAGGTCATGAAACTGGACTACTGGGCAGCATGGGATAATGGAGCTGCTGTTAGCAGAGACACGCAATGTAAGCCAGAAGTGCAAGAGGGGGCAAAGAAAACAAGGAGAGTGGGGGATAGAATGTTCTGTGGTGTGATCAGAAAGAAATGAAACTTTCAACAAGAATCTTAAATAAGTCTGAAGAAACCTGAAACCAGAAACAGCATTCCATTTGTGAAAAAAGGGGCATCATAACTCGAGGGCCGCTTCTAAATCTTTTGGGATTTTAAGGCAAAAATCAAAGCCAAGAGATATGAGATTATGTTCTAAACCAACTAGTCCAAGATGTTTTCAAATCAAACACACATTCCAGAAAACCAAAATCAAGTCTGGTCCTCTCCGCAAACATTATACTTGGATTGTAGAGTCAGAGTCAAGGCTGAGAGATACGTTCAAGATTAAATGTTAAGTTTGGTTAAACTTTCTTTTAAAACATTTAAATATTTTCATCCTCATAAAGCTTAAATGGTGAGATAATAAACTAAACAGGAAATCAGTATGTATGCACTTTCATTTTCACCAGACAGAGCTACAAGAAGACTGAAACATGTTGTTTCCAGTTTGCTGTTTCAGTACACCGTTAACAACACGTACTCATAAAAGCCGGTAGCTCGTTGCAGCGTATCCCTGACATCAGGAGACAGATCTCCAGGTTCCTGGGTGCAGCCCCACAGCTGCTGTTTTCCCTTTGCATGAAACACGTTTCCTATGTTATACAGTGCTCTGGCCTCCCCAACCTACAACAAAACATCACAGAAAACACAGTCAGTTTATTCATCTGCGTGTGCCACTTTGTTTTGGACATTAAACGTTTTGTTGATGGTGAAACAGGTTACCTTGTCACCCTGCTCTTGAGATATATCCAAATGTCTTTGGCAGCATACGACAGCCTCATCAAAGCGGCCCAACACTTTCAATGTGTTACCAAGGTTACCACTAGCTTTTCCTTCTCCAATTCTGTCACCTATAGTTCTGAGCACACAAGGAAACATTATTTATTCACTGTTTGGGAAAAGAAGACTTTTCTTTGTTAATTCTTAAATGGGAAAAAGTATAATTGAAGTTCTGTTATGATGTTATATGGTACATATTCCATTTTAGCTGCTTACCTCCAGGCACCAGACCAAAGTGGTCCTGGTGATACTGTAATGTAACAAGCTAAATGCCCCTGGGGTTTTCAATCGCTTCCCTGCTGAAGTACCAGCTGCATTCACTGCAGGGGACCAGATCCCTTGCGATTTAAATATCCAGCTGGTAGGTGTTGACTTTTACCACACATTTCTCATTTTTTCCCCTGCAATTTCCACTGTGATACTGACCAATGAGAAACCTCCTGATAATTTCACTTGCATGGCATCTGCTGCTCACAGCTAACAGCTGAAAGATATGTGAACCTGACTTTATTTTCCAAATATATAGATTGTTGAAACAACTGCAAAAACACCAATGCTTTTCAAGGATGCATCTTTTCAGGCTACTAGCAAAATGTGTTAGTCGAGATGCATTGTTAAAAATCTCCAACACACACTGTGGGCTGCAGTTGGGCTTCAAATATGACAACAATAAAGCAGTCAGTGTGTGTGCCCTTATACCGCATTGATATTTAGTGTATAATTCTTTGAGGAGTAGGAATAGCTATATTATTAAATGTATAATTATTGTTATTATTATAATCATTCTACTGTGCCAAGTCATTTGGTGCTGGATATGGTGCTCACCTGGCCAAGGTAAGGTCATGTCTGTGGTATTCCAGGGCTTTGCCATACTCTTTGAGGTAGAAGTAAGCATTGCCCAACTGGCTGTAGATGGCACTGAGGGTTTTTAGGTCTTCAGTGCCGACCTGAACGGCAGCTTCAAAAAATGCTGTTCCCCCTTTAAAGTCCCCGGCTTTGCATAACCGCTCTCCTTCCAAGGCCAGCTCCAAGCAGGAAGCCTCCATTCTGAAGAGAGCACACATGGGAAAAGTCAACAGTAAGCACAAATATACTTCGACTGTAATAGATAACAATTTAAAGTAATATAAATACTATCAAAATGCAGGTGCAACATCATCTTATGGTAAGAAACTAATTGGAAATATCACCATGACAACCCAGTCAATAGCCGCTTATGTGAACTGTTGCCATAGCAACTGAGTCTGAGCTCTAATATGAGCACCTTGAGAAGGTTTTAGTCATTACTGCTCATGTTATTCTCTTCAAATGATCCTTAGTTAAATAAGCACGTTGTAACTGCTTAGCCTTTTACACTAAGAAGCAACTCCTTTTTTTATGTGCTGAGTAATGTTTTGCACATTGATGTTTTCAGTATGAGCACTTTTTCCATAGATCAGGTGCAACCAGCCACACATTCCTGGAGCACCACTCAAAGGTCTAGTGTCAAGTTTCAGTGATAAAATAAATGTACTTAAGCTATTCAACGTTTTCAGCTAAATGATGCTGTGTTTATGATCATTTTCTCCCACGAGACATTTAAAATAACATTATGCCATTAGCTATATATGTAAACTAAACCACGCATGTCCTGACTGTTTCATTTGGAAACATTTTTGCATACACAGTTTGAACTAAAAAAAAGAATGTCTAGTCCCCAGAGCCATGGTATAATCCAGGATTTAAAAAAACAGCCAATTTGGTTGCACCTCAAAATCCAGATAAGATAATGGAAGTTAGAGTTAAGCAAGGATTATCCTTCAATTTACGGTAATCTGTTTTTAAAAGCACAAAGAGCAGGAAATCTACTCGTATCCGAGGCCATGTTGATCAACTTAAATTTGCATAACCAAAATTTTCAACAGGTTGTACCCGACTTAATGTGCACAAAGATCATCATTCTATGAAAGTCGACTTATTAGTATGCATTTTCTGTTTCTAACAGTACCTGTGTTTTTGCTTGGTGCGCGTCTTGTTCACGTACACCTGGAGCTCCACATGCAAAGGTTTTAGCATAGACTGAGGTCGGGCTCCATGATGGACCAGTCTACACATGGCCCTCTCTGCTTCAGTCAGAGGGCAAGGTTCAAATTCCATTATGCTAATATTTAACAAGATGTTGCATAATCAAAAAAACTCTTCACTTATCACAGAGGAGGTCATGCCGGACCTTTTCAGTCATGCCAACTGTCCATGCAAATTCTCTGCAATCTATTAAAAGCCAAAAGGAATCCAAAGACCCAGCAAAGTTGCAGCCAATCTGGACACAATCTAACTGGAAGCTTCACAAAGGCGAAAAATAACATCTGTTTTCAACAGAGGCTTTTAAAAAAGAATTAATGACAGTTCCTGCCAAAAAGTCTGGAGGGAATTGTAGAACATTCTTCAAAAGAAAAGTTCCATAAAAAATACATTTCTGAGCATAAAATACAAATACTAGCTGAATTTAACTGAATCAAGACACCGATCGCTGATATATTTCAATCTCCTGCAGAAGCGTGCCCTCTCCTTTGATCCTCTTCAACTTCTCCTTAGCAGCAACAATGAGATCAATTGTTCTACCTCACGAAGCAATAGAGGGAGATGCAGCACGGGTGACAGCAGCAGATGTGTAGTCTGTTAAGGAAAGGCTAGTGCGGTACCTCCAAGCTTGACCACAACCCCAATGGCAGACAGATAGAAAGTACAAGACAGATGGAGAGTGGCCAATCCTGTTACCTGTGCCTTCGAGAGACCACACAGCACAGCACAATGAGCAGCCCAGACTAATCCACCTATCTGCTGACACCAGCAGAAACACAATTAGGTCAGCTGCCAAGAAAGACAACCAAGGCTGTGACCAAAGAAGAGCTAAAGGGCCTGTTAAGGAGCAACATGTTTTAATATGCTCACAAAAAAAGTACTAAATGTATGGATTTTCATCCAAGAAATTACAGTAATATATTCAAAAGTATTTCCATTTTCATTCACCCCATACCGCATGCTTCATATGTGAAGTCACACATCTATAAACTTTTTTTTAAAAAGACTGTAAAAAGCATTCCTCATTTTCCTTTCATCATTTAATGCAGGATGTGCTTAATTACTAAAATTAATTGAAATTCCAAATTATGAAAAAGTTATATTTCAAACAAGACATGAGGAGCACTCCCACCGCTTCTATGGTGTCTCGGTTACCCTGGCAACCACCAGATCTATCGCTCAAGTTCAGCGTGAAAAGATCTTTTAGTCAGAAATCACCTTTGTTCTGTCCTCAGAAGGCATGAATACTGTGGCATGAGATATTCAAAATAACGTCAAACCTCAACAGCTGATGGCACAACCTCTTAGAGTTTATAATATCTCAGTGTAGATAATGTAGATATAACATTTTTAACGGCTAATTCTTGCAACATAAAGGATGTGTCCCCAAAAGTGTGCCAATAAAAGGATCAGAATGCATATTGTTTAACAATGCAGCATTTCAATATTGAAGTGATTTTAGGGTTATACAGAATTAAATCCAAAAAAGGGTTGGGGAGCCAGCATCTTCAGAGACAATCTCCCAACAACACAGCATGCACAGAGCTTCCACGCTCATGGTTATCATTCAATTCAGCTGTTCTTGCACCCTTTAGAAAGGCTGGAAGTATTTCACAGATGTCCTCACCCTCTGGAATGTGAATGGAACCAGACACCACTGCAGATAACAGACCTTGAAAATTGTTTAGGGCATCTCCTGTGTGAACGTAGAATAGAAACGGCCATTCTGGATTCAGCGGTAGCTTTTGTTTGGTTTTTTAGTGGAGACTCTCCAGCTCTGCATTGAAAACTCAAGTCAATTTGAGTAATTCACCAAAAGATGGGGCCACAATAGACTGTTCCAAGCCTGCCAGGGTAAACAGTAAAGTGGAGAAGGCAGTTCTGGCCAAAGCTTTATGGAGAAAAGGTACAAGGCCAGTTCAGTTACAAAAGACTAAAGAGGGAACATTTTTCTGAGAAATTACATCTGTGCAGGATGAACCAACAATGAACCTTAAAAGCTTTCCTGGTCACATACATGCAGAGACCTTGAAGGGAAATGTCAATGCTTACTGCATTTTGCTATTAGAAGGGTCTCTCCGGAATTGGTATTACACAAAGTAATTTCAATTTCTCAAGTAACTACAATTGCCTTTTTAAATGGAAATCCAACAAGTTGAAAGGAGCGAAGCACACTAATGGCCTTTAAAAACCACCACTGACAAACACAGAAAATATAGACGGAAGCAAAAGATCACAGAGAAAGAAAAAAAAAAAACTATCAAAAGACTGCCAGAACAGTAAAAAGAAGTGGCATGGAAAAAAGACAAAGCAACGGGACAATAAAATACCAGACAAAAATGTTTAGTCTCCATGACATGGTTTTCACAAAGTGGCTGTCATTCTTACCAACTTTGTGGTTGGAGTGCAGCGGACTTGTGCAGAGAGGTTTGCCATCCTCTCCTCTGATTACCCATCTAATTGGTCTGTTTGGGAGACACTGGTCTCATAATAGCCCGCCTGTGGTCTAAGTGAAACAGTCTCCCAGTGCGGTTACCATGACAGCAAGGAGTGCATGTGACATGTGGGACAGGTCTCAGGGAGTTTTTTCCTTTTTCTGTATTTTTAATCAATTTTCTGTTTGTTGTGGCGGGGGTTTCAATGCCTTTGCGAATTAAATGATCTGCACTAATAAACTTGCCTTAACTTTTGGGTGAAAAGTTTAAAATAATGAATAACTATCAATGAATTTATGTGAGGATCCTGTTCTGCTGCCTCAGAAAGGTTTATAAACACATGAAACGAGTGGAATGAGAGTTCCGCATACAATATTTCATGTGGAATAAATTCCTGTTGTGACTTAGAGCAACTCTAAATAAACACCGGTGACCTAAGAAGTGATGCTCTATACTCAGAATCTGTTTTGGTCCATCTTCTTTTCTCAATGGATGCTTTTTTATCCTTCACATCCAATGAGCTGTCCCTGTAATTCTTGGCTAAGCTAAGAAAACCCTGTGCTCAGAGTAGTAACACAGCCATAATTACAGACTACCATGGCCTGTTGTCAGGGAAACCAAAGAGAAACTCTCTAGGAATGTTCTTCCTCTTGCAGTGCTTGTCTCTTTCAGTTAGAGCACAACTCGCTCCCCTTTACCTCATATTTCTGCATCTCATGTCTAAATGGCTTAATTCTAGGATTGTTTGCCTTTTTTTACCCTTTTGTTTTTTTGAGGCGTCAATGCGGTAGAATTCTACAGCCCTTAAAGCGCTGAGGAAAAATGAAAAACAACTAAATGGATAACTGTTGACTTAACTGGAAATAACTGATTTTGGCTTTTGCAATCTCAAATGTACAACCATGAAAATCCTAAGTGGTTTATAATGAAAGAAAGTTTTACCCAAATGCTTCAGTTGGAATCAGGAGTGTCAGAATTATTATTCCTGGACATTCACATATCCAGTGTTTGTCATTCTCTGGGCATACCCATCCCCAGTGTTTGGCATTTATCCCTTCACAGTGAAGAGACTTTTAAAGCAGTTTTTATTTGTACTGCTGCAGCAGTAACACTATGAAGGTAAGCTGTGAAATAGTTCCTCCAGATCGGCTTCTCTCCAGTGCCTGTCGCTGCTCTCATTTAGAAAAACAAGGGCATTTTACAAAGATGGCTTGTTAACAAAAGAGCTGCGGATAATATCCTCTTTGTGGCTCAGCTCGGGTTTTTTCGGACGCAAGAGACGACGCGCACACCCACAACCCTCATTGCAGAAAGGTCATGTATTGCCTCTATCTGCTTCTGAAACAAAGGCAAACAAGTGGCATGGTGACCAAGGCCACAGCCACTCACCCAGTGCATTTATCTGTGCGTGTGTGTGCTTCATGTCATGGATGTGACAGCCTTGCAGGCGTTATGAATGTCAAATCTCACATCAACACCTAACATTCCCCAGCAGCCTGCGCTGTGTCACGGACGTAGAGGGTTGTAATGTCACAATAAAGTTCTGGCTTTCCGCCAAATCCCTGGGACAAAGTCTCCTTCTTAAATAGAAAAAGGCATTTTAAAAAAAATGCAAAAACAAAATGCACTTAACCTTAACTCTTTCAGTGCACTGCTGTGAGGGCACACACTCCACTAAAAGCGGTATTAAATGTATAATTGAAAATTTTCATAAATTCATAAACATATTATTAATTGCCAAAAACCATAAGTTGTTAAGTGTTAGAATCAACTCGCAATAAAATAGATGGATCATTTCACTGTTTTATCAGAGGTTTAATGGTATTTTTATGGTGCTGACAAACAGATAAGTGCTTCTATTGTCCAATTAGCCCAGCTGTGAGGGTTTGGGGGAAAAAGCAGCTGATACAATCAGCCAGCTGGAGGATGAGACTACGAGAAGAAACGAGTTTACAAGAGAGAAATAGTATAGGCGAGAAAATGCTTTTCAAACAAGACACACTATTGTCACAACTTGTTTGCCGAGTGTGTAAAAACATTTTTGCTGAGGATGTGGTAACTCTTCGCCGTGTGTGTGTATGTGTGTGTATGTGTACCCAAAGCCACGTGCACCGGCGATGTGTCAAACCTGGAGACAGACTTTCTTACTTTCTGCTCGCGTCTCCCAAGGCTCCTCTCAGTCTGCACATTCCAGCCCACAGCCACTCAGCGACCCGAGCCAGGAACGAGGCTTGGATCCGGTTCTCTGGCTTTTTTCGCTGTGGCTGGGTTTTGAGCTTTAAACCAGAGAAATCTGGCTGGACAAGTTCGCCCCCCACTTCCCCCCCACACAAGACTAGCTCCTCCTTAAGCAAAGCACTGAGCTGGCAGCTTCTGTTGCTCCCCGTAGCCGCTCCCGGCCGTTTGTCCGGTGTCGTTTCACCAATTAAAGACGTGTATTAACGAGGGCTGACCCCGCGTGCGTCCCCTGGGTCCTTACCTCGAGTGCAGCCTCTTGCCGGACACATCCTGGTCCACTCCGTTAGCAGCCGACTGAGCCATAGACGCTTGGCTAATCTGCCCCTCTCCCGGCTCGCTTCCTCAGGCTGTGAGACCCCCTTCTTCACGACGACTTCCTCCAGAGCCAGCGAGCCTTTCTTCTGTCTCGAGGCCGTTCCACTTCTCTCTGCCCCTCCCTCCCAGTCGCGTATTTGTGTCTGCTCTCCCCTCTTTCTGCCTTCATTCACTACAGTAATGGCAGCCTCCGAGGGAGTGGAGTATTTGGAAAAAAAAAAAGAAAAAGCTAAAAAAAAATACGCAGCCCCTCCCCCGAAATGACGTCACGTGGCGAGCAGCTGCTCATCTTTTGTTGTCATCTGGTGAGAAAGGGCAAAGTATAGCTCTGGCGTCTGGAAACATAGCACCCGTTGTTAGTCATAGTTTCAGGGAAGTATGAAGAAACTCCCAACAGTTGGCTTCCATTAACATGTTCAGCCTACATTCAACACAGAAAAAACGGAGTAAAGTTGTTTTAAAAGCTCTAAAACTGGATATATGAAAAGCATAATTAACAAAGGTGTACAATGTTTTAAAATATATCTTCAAAAACTTCCCAGTACAAATACTTGCACTTACAATTCAACTTATAAACTTTTATATCCAAGAAACGTTTTCATTGTGTCCTTTGTATTTTCCTTGGGTATTAGACTGTTCTTGTTTTGTTTGCTGACTTGTTTGTTTTTGTGACTATTGCTTTTGCAAATACAGCAAAGCCTTCCTCGGATGACATTGTATTAGCGCAGTAGCTACTTCTCTCGGGTCCCAGCTTGTACAACCACATGTCCTGTCTTTGAGGACTTTTCTTGTATCTTAGTTCCCTTTATTCTGAATACCTGCAGGGGAACTGAAGAAGAGGCACAGTGAACTGAGTCATCGCAGCAGGCATTCAACAAAATACAACATCCTTGGATAACCCCACCATGGAGCACATGTGCACCACGAAAAGTCACCTGGAAGTGGTTAGTTGTCTTATAAAGCATGTGCATGTGTCTCTTAACCTTTTTGACCTATGAGTGTGCCAGCAGCCACTCTCACAAGTCATCGGCTGTGATGAATGTAAGTGTTTAACCATGTTTATTTAATCAACAACTTGGGAAATATGTACTGAAAGTAGACTATATAAATAAGGGGCTACCTTTTTGCTCTTTCTGTCTAAAGAGACTAAAATTACTTGAAGACTTGTACTCGCATAAGAACAATTGATGTACCAGTTTGTGTCAGCAGATGGCAGAGTTGTATTGTTGACCGAGCAATTTACACTTTCAGATAGAGCAACATTGTTGTTTTGCGGACAAAATAGCAAACAAACCCATATTAGTACGCCACAAAACTACAATCCCATGCCTTTTTATTATTTCATTATTTCATTATATCGATTCTCTAGGTATGAACACAGACCATTTGACACTGTGTGAAAAAGTTACAAATTAGATTTCATAACTTAAACCACTTCTAAATAGGACTTGTAGGGTTATCACTCTTGATTTCGGTTCTTAATTTCCCAAATAAATGTCTGAGTCAATATAAAAAAATCAAAAGGGATACAACTCTCTGATCTTGATATTTTTCCAAAAGTAACACTTCTGGTTTTGACTTGACTCTACATCGTGCAGGTTGAATGACAGGATTTAGCTGCTCTTTACAAACATTTAATTTTTAAGGAGCAGTCTGTGCAATCTTTCCCTTACCTGGACTTATAACATTCCAAAATATTTGACATTGTCTTTCAGCCAATATACTGTGTATAAACAAGGCATGTCCTAATTTCAGGATAAGAAGTAAGTCTGCAGTGTGATAAAGGTAATAAGACAGTTTACATAACTTAAGAATACCATTCACTTAAGCAGCAATATTCAGAAATTAAACAAATACGTTAAATGAAAATAAATCCTCTGAGCGTGACAAATTATTTTCAGCCACTATAGATGTTGTATCATCTCATTGCTCAATGGTGTCTGATAACTGATTATCAGACAATTAGAGGGCACTTTTCTGTCTTCAAGCTGCCAATTAGTCACACAATTACAAGATAGTAATACAAAGCCTGAGGTACTGCACATTATTTGGAAGTTGATCCTCCTACTCTAAATACCTTCAACCTACCACTTGGAGGCAGGATTGCACCAGTGAATGTCCAGTTAATGTTTAGTGTAAGCAAAAGAGCTTTTCATGTTTGTTGAAGTTGAAGTGTCATGGGGACATTAAATGAAAATAATAGGAAGATTCTCACACACACTCACACACACAAGCATTTACATATGTATACATAAACACATCCATCACAACAAGGAAGAAGTTGTTCTCAATAAACACAGGAGGTAAACAAGTATATATCTGACATATGTCATTGCATTAGAAATTTAGATAATTATGTAAATGGAGTGAATCAATTCCAATAACAGTCATATGTTGTTGTTTCTCTCTTCTGGGGTCTAAATCAGTAGTCCTTATTATTTTCCAAATCATGCCTTGAGAGTAATCATCCACTAATCTTTAAAATATGTTTATGCTTTTTGTTTCCCTTGGCAGAGGAAACCACTTACTTTAATAAATTCCATCTTCATACTCAGATTAAGGAGCTCCTCAGTGCAGCTACTTTAAGTTCAGTTTTCTTGCATACACAACAACATGTTTTCTTCATTTTCCACTTGTTTTATTTTTGTTGCTGATTTTTTTTCAGTTTCCCTAATCCCCAGTTGGATTTTGTGGATAGACCATAGCTACAGACAATGGGAAGCAACAAAGGCAAAATGAGATTGAGGTAAGCTGATTTCAGATTCGCTGATTTTCAGAACTGACCAACTCAAATGTGTTTTTCTTTACTAAGGAAGTCTTGTCTCATAAACAAAACCATCTGCCTATTAAGAAAAGGAGCTGTACATTTCCACATCCCCTGTTTTATTTTATTTGTTTTTATTTTATTTTTATTGGGTAATAGGATAAGTCTTTGCATCTAAACCAAACAGACTCTTTCCTCCCTGGTTACATATTATGATTGAATACAAAATCTGAAAAGAAAAACATCTAATACTTTAATACAAAGACAACGATTGTCACTTTATTCTTCCTGATGCTTCTTAAAATATCCAGAGACTTTGTGATCCTTGGAAATCAAAACATATTGTTAGTGTAAAAGATCCTGTTGTTCCTGAATGAGCAGTACATTTCAAACAGATTAAAAATGTGGCAAAGCTTACATTAGTTTCATACCTGATTACATCAAAGCCAGCCCTCACCAATTTCAAACCAGTGCATTATGAAATTGCTCAAATTAAATGAAAAGATTGTGTGGGGGAGTCGGCTACTTTAATCATGTTTATTTGACTTGTCTATGTTTTGTTGAGTCTAGGTGATTTTCTTTTAGTTTGTCAGCAACCAAGGATTGATTCGCATCGAAAGACATTTGTTGCTGACAGATTTAATTCCCTTAGTCAAATAGAAATACTTCATAAATTTACAAGAAAGTATAAAACAGTTTATGGAATCTGCATTCTTTAAAACATTCTTATCATTGGCCACAAATACCAGAGGTGGTAAGTTGTTTTCTTCTCTGATCCATTCCTAAGCAACAGCCCACTCCTGTCCTGTTAGGAAAGGCAATTGCTGTAGGGAAATGCTGGTGTCATGTGACTGGTCTGCATAAATAATAGGGGTAAATGATAGGCATCAAAATAACATCCATGGGAATGTCAGGATTAAGGATCCCTTCAGCCTTCTTGTGAGATGTCAGGAGAAATCTGAAGATCACCTGGAACCTTTGACATCATGGAAGAAATCTTCAAGCAGAATTCGTTGTTGTGAAACCTTATCTGTAATTATGATAATAACAATCATAGATAACATAAGTAGGTCATGGTATTACGAGCAAACTAAATGAGGGCTATTTGTTGATATATGATATAATGCCAAGGCAAGCAAATGAATAAAACTATATCAAATTGTTCCCTAAATATGTGACAGATGTTCATGAATAGAGGTAGCAGAATTACTAGATGAATACCTTATAAGTCTATTAATTATAATATGATAATCATGCCTTATTGATGTGGGAGGTTACACAGAGACATAGGCTAGTTCACCTCTGGTCATGTTACATTACATCAAAGTCTGCCCATGTTGACTGCAGTTTGCTAATTACGAAGCAGCGCCCCAACCAAACTAAGTAACGACTGATGGAAAGAGGAAAACAATTTGCATAATGTAAAAATCATAAGTAATCTTCTCTGGAATCATCGTTGGAGCTTTAAGAGACTTTAAAGAAAGAGGAAGGGAAGGATGGAGATGGAATAACCCTTTTTTTTAGAACATTCAAAATCCAACTGGAGCTTATGTCTCTCAACGTCATTGTTGACGTTTGTGGATTGTCCTTTATCTTAAAAAAAGTCTAAGAAAGTGCATCAATATTGTCTTAGAAGTTCTTGAAAACCCAGAATCGCTCTTATTAACTATAATGTAATGCTGAGATGGGTTCATCATATATGGCATGAGTCCTCAAATACTGAATGTTAATCATCATTAGAGAATATTTTTAATGTGAGGTCTATTGATCCTAATCTACAGCAAGAGGCATGCATCTGGTTGCTTAATCAAAAATATATATTGTCTGTTTTAGTTTCTTGTAGAAATTGACACAACATACACACTGGAACATTATCTATAAAAGTACTTTCAACATGTACTGTCACCATGTGGTGTTAAACTTCAAACAACCAAAGGGTGGCAGTGTTGTTTCCTATCCTATCTACTGCTCTACTTAGTCCAAACAGAAAACTGTAAAACACTACGGTCATTCTGGCTGTGAGGGAATTGCTGCTTAAATTTTAATTAGAAATAGTCTATAGTGTTAAATTTTAAAAGTATCCTAAAATGTAAATTGGTTGGGTGGAAAATGGGTAATTGTTCTTAGAACTTAGCCATTTTTTCTTTAATCGGATGCTTTGAACTTTTTAATGGAGAGATGAATGACTTAGGGAGTTGTGATTCTCACTTTATAACTGATAGGACCCTGAAAATGACAATGAACCTACAGGACCATCCATATCTTATTGAATTAAATTATTGGATGTAAATACCCAGGAAACTGTATTTATTGTCGTAACTGACCATATCTGACTTTTAGGCTATGGGCCACAGAACATTTGCCCACTATCTTTCTGCCCTCTGAATTAATTTTGTGTCTCCAGAACTCTGCAGAGACGTCATTATCTTTGTGGTATGCAGTTTTGGGTAAACA